ACATAAATAGAAACTGTTCATATATCTATTCAAAACAAAATGTTATCTCTTCATGCCTATTTCACAGAACAGATGTTATTTTACCATCTCATCCCTTCATTAACATTAGTCAGCATTTATCTCTTCTGATGATTTATTACTGAATATAGTATATTTTTAAATTCATGAACACATGTACAAATGTCAAAGTACAAATTATTGTTTTTGTTCTAAAAGTTAAAATACTACTTTAATTGGAATTATTATTTTGTGAGAAAAAAAGATGAAGTTAACTGTTGTGACCTCATGAAGATGTGATACTTAACGTCTAATGCATTTTGTTTTTCATTTAGATATCTAGATGAATGTTCTTTTTACTTTTTAAGTCTAGACAGACTATAAATTTAAATATATAATAAAAATAAAAGTTACTTTATAACATCGATAGTATACAATTACCCCTACACCTACAATATTGAAGGAAAGCTGACCATCTATTTTCTAATTCCAATAGTGTATAAATCCGCTTTAAATTATTATATGTCTTTGATGGTTAATGGATTATACTTGAGACAATTAAGTGAGCTAGACACCAAGGCCGTATAGCCCTATAGTAAAGTATAGTAGCAAAAAGGGTTAAAATGAGTTAACGATTAAGGTAAAGTTAGAGATTAAACAGTACAGAAGGTGGTATGGTAGTGAAAGGGTAAATTTCTTTGATGATAAATCTTTTTCAACATCACTTCACTATACCTGTGACCTAAAGTAAACAGAAAGGTAATAATAATAATAATGATAATAATAATAATAGTAATATTAATAAATTAATATTAATGATAATAAAACCGAAGGTGAAAATCTGATTCCTCCTAAAATTTCTTTCCGCTGTTAAGAAATGTTTTCCTGCCATCTTAAAGGCAGTATATACCTGGCATGGATTTTTCATTGCTGTTAATAACTTTCAAGACTTTAAGAAACATTACTTAGAAAAAAATAAACATGCTTTATACATTCCTATGGAGAAAAAAAAAATAAGGCAAGTAAAGAAGGCAGAGGATTCTCATATGATGTCGCCCTCAAATTTGCTGTCAGCTGGAAGTACGTGTGCACGCTCACGTACACACATAATATGTGTATATATATAAATATATATATATTTATTCATATATCATTATCGTAATCGTGTGGGGTGACGGGCTATGTGGGTCCTTCATGGTGAGCCTCCATGAACTCCTACGTCAGACAACCTGATCGCCACGGCCCGACCGGTAATAGATGTACCCACCCACACTGATCGTGTCGCTGCCAGGTCTTCTTACCTCTGAGGGGACAGCCATCTCAACTCCCAACCGCTTCAGGTCCCTCAATAGCAGAGGTAACCGCTCATCTTGCCACATGGGACAGATGTACCAAGTGCTCACCCGGACAACCCGTCTGAGGTTAAACCTTGGGTAGTCGCTCCAGTGGACGCCAACTTTGGCACTCCTGCGTGCGTGTGTGTGTGTGTGTGTGTGTGTGTGTGTGTGTGTGTGTGTGTGTGTGTGTGTGTGTGTGTGTGTGACTACAAAAATTTCAGTAATGGACACTTTTGGGGTTGTAAAATAATATTCCAAACACTTATATTTATTCTTCGATTAGTTTCTATACATTTTATTTTAAAATTCAAATTGTGAAAGTCAGAAAAATAAAATAAAAAGCACTGCATCCAGATATACTGGTTGAATGTATCACTGAAACAAAAAACTGACTTATCATTGCATGCCTATTCAGAAAAATAAAAAAATAAAAAGAAAAGAGAGAAATTACAGAAAAAAGAGTAACAGAAATAAAAGTACAGTAAATAAGGCAGAATTTTTTTTTTTTCCTTTTCTTTTATAATTAAGAAATATTGCAATCAACTCTTGACGATTGATAAAATGAGTCTTCTCTTTTTTTTAACCATATCATCGAGCAAAGAAATTCAAAAAGATTCAATTCCTTAGAATAGGCTACACTTACAATAATCCTCTTCTTGAGAATAGGAAACTTAAGGAAAAAGGTGAAGACATACAAACAGTACTCACACAGCTTGCATTCCCTAAACCCCTATTCCCCCCAAAAAAAAACCTCCTTGTGACATCCCGCTTCAACCGGCGTGCTGATCCGAACCTGTCCTCCCTTTCCTTTTCCGTTCAGGGGGAGTCACAGACGTCCTTGTCAAAACCAACCACCCAAAACCACCCCTCCCCCCCTGCCTACTCCTCTCGACATCCCATTTCAATCAGAGCGCATGTCTGAGCCGTTACTATTTTCCCCTTTCCTTTCTGTTCAGGGGGAGTTGGAAATGTCCATGTCAACGGCTTCTCCCTTGTCCTTGGTGTCCTCCTCCTCCTTGTCCTTCTTCTTCCCCTTCTCTTCCTCTCCTTCGAAGCCCAGTTGCTCCTCTTCGTCATAATCGCGGGACACCTAGAATCAGAGGGTGGATCGAGTGGTCAGTTAGTCCATTGTTAGAAGGCTGGCGGTTAGGAAATTACTTTTTTCTTACACCCATTCATCTTAAAATCCTAAATCATGAATTACATAATAATCAATTTTTATAATTTTTTTTTTTTACTAATCTTTTCGTATCACTGTGCATGAAAGGAAATGTGACCCAGTGATTTCTCACACAAAAGATCTTTACCTTTGAGTCTTTCTTCTTCTCATCCTTCTCTTTCTTTTCTTTCTTTTTATCCTTCTTCTCCTTCTCTTTCATCCTGTCCTTGTCCTTCTCCTTATCCTTGCGGTCGCGGCTTCGGCTTCGGTCGCGGCGTGAATCCTTCCTACAAAGACGGGGAGGAGAGGGAGAGAAAAAAAAAAAGCGGATATATTTCTTTCATTCTCATTAATTTCTTCAGCATTAGCTTGAAACCAAAATCTGTTTTAATGAATCAACTGAAAATGACCGAAAAAAACTTACTTTTTGCTTGAATCCTTGTCTTTCACTTTCCCCGTCCTGGGGGGAACAAGAGAAACTCATCTCAGATCTATTTAATGGGTCACTTGTGTGGGCATCAAAATGCACATGAATGCAGAAAATAAAAAAATCTACACAAAAGAGATAAAGGACAGGAAAATTGTACATACACCTCTATAGAAGGGGGGGGGGGGGGAAGGAGACAGGAAATGGGGAAGGAAAATCAGAAGCAGGAGGTGGAGAAAACTGAATAAAGATAGGATATGACGGAGGCTCGTGCAAACTTAAGAAAACCAACAAATGTATGATGTTGACCCATCCATCACATATCATTGTGATACCCATGGCAGTACGCTCCACAAGAATTTAAAATGAGAATTAATAAGAAGAAAACAAGAAGAATTATAATAATAACAATGATAATAGTAAAATAAAGATTAGGAAACTAAAGAAAAGAATTTGAATATTCAACTCAAAGGCAACTTCCTTCTACAGTAACTACAAGGAAAAGCTGTATTCCCAAAAGGCAAGAATACAAAGGCAACCTACCACTGGCTGACAGAAGACCTGTCCTTAATGCCTTACAAAAGAAATGACGAAAATCATTCAAATCAATGCAGGAATAAACAAGACGAATAAATAAATAAATAAATAAAAAAAACAAAGGAAATAACAAAGTTTCTACTTAAAGAAAAGAAAAGAAGAGAGAAGAACATAAACCCTACTTACTTTGACCTTGACGACGACCTGGATCTCCTCTTGGATCGGTCATGGGAGCGCGACCTGCGTCTGTCCCTTGAGCGGTCTCTGCGTGACCTGGACTTGCTGCGGGATTTGCGGCGTGACCGGGACCTGAGACGATGACAGAACGTGCAGGATTTCATAATGAATTTTATCAAATTGACAGTGATAGGAAAAGATAATAGAAGAAATGAAAAGGAGAGAAAAAGCAATAACTTAACCCATTGCCACCGGGGAAAATGAACAAAAAATAGGGAAAATGCTGTGCCTATTTTCTATATTTTTTGTGAAATGTCTGCCCATAGATGGCTCTGTTAGTGCCTGATTTGAAATGGCGGGAAAAACGTATTTTTCACTAGTACCATGAATATCTATGGTTATGTTTATTAACATTAGTAACAGCAAAATAAGATAACGTAAAATATTTCATAAATCAAAGAAAAGGGTGAACGGGCGAGACAGGCGGTACTCATAACAGGCTTATTGGTGATTTAGTACAAGTGTAGCCATCTATGTGTAAAAACAATCCAACAAGTAATCTCACAGTGGGCATGGCATGGCATACCCGTCGGCAATGGGTTAAACAAAATATAAAGAAGAGGAGAAATTAAAAGGGGATAAAAAAACAACAACTGAATATAATTCATAGAAGGAAGGAAGGAAGGAGGGACCATAAGAATTCCTTTAAAAATGCCAATTCCAGATAAATTACTGAAGAGCAAAGAGGTTTGCATAATAGTGCACAATGGTTAGTATATAAAGAGGATGCAACACTATATCCCTAAATACAGCTGCATTTTAAAATTTTGTATTTTCTATTCATATTTCCATTCCTCCTTCCTCCCAAATTTCTTGAGACAATATTAATTTTCTGAAGTCTTCAGATTATTCAGCAGGATTGCGAAAATATTAACTGCAAGCATATTTAAAGACACATACATCCATAAATATAGGTATAAAAAAAAAAAAAAAATACATACATATATATATATATATATATATATATATATATATATATATATATATATATATATATATATATATATATATATATATACATATATATACATATACATATATATACATATACATATATATACATATACATATATATACATATACATATATATACATATACATATACATATATTTATATATATAATATATATATATATATATATATATATATATATATATATATATATATATATATATATATATATATATATATATATATATATATATATATAATATCTACATCCATCAATCTATCTATCTACCTATATGTATATATGTGTTTATGTGTGTGTGTGTGTGTACGTATACAAGTGTATATGTGTATACATGTATATGTGTATATATATATAAATATATATATATATATATATATATATATATATATATATATATATATATATATATATATATATATATATATATATATATATATATATATATATATATATATATATATATATATATATATATATATATATATATATATATATATATATATATATATATATATATATATATATATATATATATATATATATATATATATATATATATATATATATATATATATATATATATATATATATATATATATATATATATATATATATATATATATATATATATATATATATATATATATATATATATATATATATATATATATATATATATATATATATATATATATATATATATATATATATATATATATATATATATATATATATATATATATATATATATATATATATATATATATATATATATATATATATATATATATATATATATATATATATATATATATATATATATATATATATATATATATATATATATATATATATATATATATATATATATATTATATATATATATATATATATATATATATATGTATATATGTGTATATGTATATATGTATATATGTATATATGTATAAATGTATATATGTATATATGTATATATGTATATATGTATATATGTATATATGTATATATATATATATATATATATATATATATATATATATATATATATATATATATATATATATATATATATATATATGACACAAATATACATTCTCTATAAAGAAAGAAATCTACCTGGACCGAGACCTGTGAGAGCGCTTTGACCTGGTGCGGCTTCTTGACCTGGAGCGTGTCCTGGACCTTCTCTTGCTGCGGGAGCGCGACCTGCTTCGTCTGCTCTTGCGGTCGCGTGACCTGGAGCGGGAGCGAGAGCGGCGGGACTTGGACTGCAGGAAGCACAAAAGCATTTCATTAATCAATTGATATTTTTAGTTCCCACTTACTCATTTGCATAGTGCGCACACATACACATGCTCTTACTCACGCACTCCTTCACTCTCTCTCTCTCTCTCTTGCACACATACATACACCAAGTTAAAACATTAACTGTATAAAAACCAGACACATTTTATCCTGAAACCATTATCTAAATAACAAACAAAACATTAAGTGTATAAAAACTAAAACAGTAACTGTATAAAAACTAAAACATTAACTGTATAAAAACTAAAACATTAACTGAATAAAAACTAGATACATTAACTGTATAAAAACTAGAACATTAACTGTATAAAAACTAAAACATTAACTGTATAAAAACTAAAACATTAACTGTATAAAAACTAGATACATTTTATGCTGAAATGAATGTTTTTGACACTAAGGGAGGAGCTTCTTTCTCTTCCTCTGAAATGAGCTGACTGTAAGCTCCTCCCCTTTCCTTTTTTCCCTTATAATCAAATGGAATATTCTTAAAGATCTTACTTCTTTCTTCTTATCTTTGTCCTTCTCTTTCTCTTTGGAGCTTTCTTCTGCCTTCGATTCCTCTTTCTTTGCCTCTTTACTATCTTCCTTCTCCTCTTTCGTCTCGTTCTCGCTCTCCTTTATGGTCTCCAGTTTCTTGTCCTCCCTCTTCTCTTTGTCTTTATCCTTTGATTTGTCCTTATCCCTGTCCTTGTCCCTATCCTTATCCTTGTCCTTGTCCTTGTCCTTGTCTTTGTCTTTGCCACGGCTGCTGCTGCTCGAGCCCTTGTCTCTCCTTGAGGACGAGGCCGTAGACTTCGACTTGGACCTCGACCTCTTCGAGCGGGACTTGGACCTTGACTTCCTTCGTGAGGGGGACCTGCAGAACATACATGAATTAATGACTTAACTTGACTAATTCTGGTTGTATCATTATCACATATTATCATATCTTATCTGTGAAAGAAACATCACAGTTATGCCTATTGAGTACGATTCATGAGGCTAGTTTGACAAGCTTTGTATGATGAGACTATTTTGGCTTTTGGAGAATGAAAACAATAATGCATCATTACATATCTGCAGTCACAGAACAGACAGACAGATGCAAACACATTCTATACCTCTCTCTTACATAGAGAAAAAAAGCATAAGAAAGCACTTCTGGCTACAAGTAAATAATTCTTTAATAAATAAACCACAAGGAGAGTTCCCTACCTGGATCTGGACTTCTTGCGTGACCTTGAACGCGATCTCTTTCTGCGGCTGCGGCTTCTTGATCGTCCATGTCGGTCTCTGGTTTGTATGGAAGAACAATTAGCACATAAATGAAAAAGAAGAAGAAAAGAATGATAACAAGGAGATGAGAAGGATGAGAATAACCGCTACGTCTCCTCAAACACTCCCATCAATCCAAGGTAAGATACACTGCATAAGAGAGATGGAAACAGAAAACTATCATTATTATAAATGAACCTTTTTTTTTCCCCATTTCATTCTTCTTATTATTCCCGTACTAGTAACTCCTCTTTGTAATACCTAGATCGGGTCCTGGAACGTGACCTCCTGCGCGAGTGTGACCTTGTTCTCCTTCGAGATCTTGAGCGTCTGGAGCGGGACCTTGACCTGCGTCTGGAGCGAGAGCGTGTCCTGCAATCGAGGAAAAGATAAAAAATATATAATCAGATCAATAAAAAATTGATAACTTAACCCATTCAATGCAGGTATAGAGTGCTGGCTTCACAATTGCAAGGTCCTGGAGTTGAACCCTATGGCTCCACTCAGTCAATTGAGCTGTGAGTGAGTCCTGATATACTGAAGTCAGCCTACTCGGATCAGAGGTGGGGCAGAAAGGAGCTTGCCACCTTACTGCATCATTCTGCAGGTTAGTACACATGTTCTTCTATGAACGTGCCTCCTATGTCTACTTGGAGATGAGACTAACTGGCCCCTGGAACAGACTTGTTAATGCACATCAGCTGCTTGGCATGCTGGACTGGCTAGTTTGATACTTTTAATGCTTTGTACTGATTTTTGCCCATCTTTTAGCCTTTCATTACCAAAATTAGGGAGAAACTAAATATCTGGATCAGCTGCCACCTAAACATCATTTTAAGATGACAGTAACTTGAAACGAAAACGAAAAACTCTTGGCACTGCAGCCAAACTTGGCTATGACACCATTACAATGCATCTGTGGTCCTCCATTGTCCATGGATTATTAATCTATGTACAAAATATATATCCATTAATAGGTAAATTATACAGAGAGGATCCATTTAACAAGTAACATCAAATAGCAGTAAACTATTTTCATCATAATTTGCTTCTGTAATTTGGCTGGTGTATTCACGAAGTTCAGTTGGTCAAAGAAGTATGTGACCATTTAACATATTTGCTTTCTGCTAATAACACTATGTGGAATGAATAACTTTTATGTTACTTGTTATTTGTTTAATTGTTCAGGGCATTCTATTATGGTAATTTTTTTCTGTACTCTGTAGCTCCTCCCACAAACTGTTATCCACCCAAAAGATAAAAGTAAGTATATTAATAAATAAATAAAATCTAAACAGTTGCAAATTCCTGTGGCCGTGTGTATCTAAAGTTACTAATAGTTTTCACACTCCAATTTTATAGATATATTATTTAGAAAAAAACACAGTATAAATAAAACTTATCAAATAGTCTTGTCAAATAGCAAACTAGTAATTCTATGACTATACTAAATTAATAAAAATCTAATTCTATAAAATATTTACTTCTTTGGCCATGAATGGAAAACACAACACAATAATGCAAATGAAGAAAAGAAAAAAAGAAAAAAAAAAATAAAGAAAAAAAATAAATAAAAATAAAGAAAAAGAAAAAAAATAAAAAATAAAGAAAAAATAAATCACACAAGCTATAACAAACAAATCAACACACAAACAATTACAAAAAGGAAGACACCAAAATAAAAAAAAAACTCTTACCTCGATCTCGACCGCGATCTCTTTTCCTTTGAGGAATCCAAGAAGGACATTACAGGATCAATGGCCGAGGCTATAAAGTTCTGCGCCTCTTTGACTCGTCTCATTGCTTCTTCAATCTCACGCTGAGCGGCTTCGTTGCTTTTTGTTTGAGGTTTTATAATGGCTACAGTGGAATGATTGATCCTGTTGAAAAATATGATCATTAAATAATGGTAAAAGAAAAAGGTGTTCTATCTGCAAAAGTATTCTGCATAATGATGATAATAAAAATAATAATACCAAAAATAAATGCATAAATAAATAAATATAGACTGCTTGTAGACTGTCGGAGAACATCATACATCTTTAAACAATTTTTGAATCTTTAAGGGTACAAAAAAAAAACAAAAAAACTTTTCATTCCTGCCACTTCTACACATTACATTTACTGCAGTTAGATGCGACATATTTACATATACTAATAGATCAATAAAATCATCATTTTTTAAAATAAGTATCCTTCAAATAAATTTAAAAAGCTATTGCAAACAATGACTGACAAGATTTGATTAAAAAAATTGCATGAGCTGCGAATTGAGTGTTTTATCCTGCTGCCAAACTACAAGCAATGCCATCAGAACTAAAGCTTTAAACCCTACATATATCTGCAGATCAACAGAACACATATATTCTTCTAAAATCAAATGGTAAATTAACAACCAACCCGACACTTTGCAATACAAAACCAATATCAACTTTCAATAAGAATATCAAACTTACTTAATGAGACGATTCATGTGTTCCTGATTGTGCATCTTCAATGCTGCAATAATGAAGGGTTGCTCAGAATACTCAACGAGTGCATTTCTCGTGCCGTTAATTTCTGTGCCCAAACGCAGGTATCTCACCTCCCCAGCTTTAGCAGCCAGCTCCATCAGCTGATCAGTAGTGACCTGAGAAAAAAGGAGAAAATGGTTTATATAATTATAAAATGCAGACAAAGAAACAGTCATTAATGAGGAAAATATCTCAGAACTTTTAAATTTATCTATCTGACTTAAATTCATCAAAGCTGTAGGCCTGCAAGAAAAGTTTGCCAAACAGCCAATAGAAACGATACATACTGAGAAATTACGTCCTCAATATCACCTCCTAATCTCAATCACACCCTTTCCTGAGTAATAACTTACCGTGGGGTCAAGGTTGTCAAACACAACAGTACGTCGAATCTCGTTAATCTTGTGAGACTCGGTTGTTGCTGGCAGTGGAGGATAATCTGGGAGGTCATTTTCGGCCAATGCTGGGTCATGTGTCCTCAAAATAATGCCATCAATCTGTCGAATACACATTTCCCAATCACCATCAAAATTCTCAAGAAAAAGAATAAACACAATTTCACTGACTCAGAGAGCAAAACATGCATAATTTGCTCTGCTTGCAAAGACCTACACAAATACAAACTTCAGGGACAACATACCAATCAAAAATTCAAATACTAGATTACCAGCCACAAACAAACCTGGTTGGTAACATGAGCTGGCCACTTTGCTTCTTGTCCAATGCCTGGTATGGTACCACCTGTGCCCAAAATTTCCATTGCCCGTTGCTCATCTGGCATATCACCAGTGGTGAACGGAATGACAATAAGGGCTCTGTCAATGAAGACTGTGTTGGTGAGGTGTTGGGCGACACTGACCGAATCCCGGTCGTGGAATTTGATGAAGCAGATGCGCGATTGGACTGGAATGGCAACATCACGGCTGGAAAATAAAGAAAAATATTATTTTCAAGGCATTTCTCTAACTAAATATGTAAAGATGCAAGTGTCTCAGTATGTATATTAATAAGATCTTGCTACCTCTTCTGCTGAAAATAAGATTTCTATTGATGAAAACATAAGAAGCAACAATCTATTTTCATAGTATAACCTGTTGACATTGCTTCTAAAAACAATATAGTGGTATATAGAATAAATGGACATTAATAATCTTGGTTGTCAATGAGCAAACTACGTGTTGACATAAAGGTAATATTCTGTAATTTAAATTGCGGAAAACACTGAGTTTCCGCTTGCTGCAATGAAACTGTATCTCCCTTCTGTTTCAGGTCCTTTATCCTGGGGTCCTAGTGGTGGAGCCTCCTGACTTTCAGTGATGGCAGGCATGTTTGTAGAGATTTATAAGCCATTTTTTTTTGTGGAGCTTTTTGGCATTTTTGCTCTAGATTCATTCTATTTCAGCTTGTGTAACTTCCCTGATATACTTCATGCCTCTCCCTACTTTTGGGGTTATCGTATCAAGATTGTTTGAAGAAGTTTTGTGTGTGAAAGCCTGATAGTTTTCTGAAAATTACACCTTACTCAAATCGTTCACAGCTCTCCCGAGTTTCAGCTTTATCTTGCCCTGTACACTAAGGTGAAGATAATGTTTGCTAGGGGGGTGGGTGTTGGGGTCAGAGCCCCTCCTCAACCCACCCCTTGGGTAGTGCCCAGTCATGGAAATTTGGATTGTTGATTAAAATTTGTGACATGGAGTTGGGGATTTAATCTCAGCTGATTGCATCCATACCATAAAGAACTACTGATGAATTATATAGAGGAATCTGACCAAGCTGGGAAATAAAATCATTAACACTTTCTAAACTATTGAGAAAAAGAGTGCATGCTTATATGGAATGTCTACTATATCTACCATTTTATTATTGTATTTTCCACACAAATGGATCCAAAAGTGATCAGTCACGAAGGAGTAAATTCTAAGATCAACATTTAATAGTAAAAACAAAAATGATAATAAATATAATTGATAATAATGATGATGATAATGATAAAAAAAAAAAAAAAAAAAAAAAAAATAATGAAAATAAAATCTGTTTATATCTGATGAGATTTTCATTTTTTGAGGACATACTTCAATTTGAATGTGTGTCAAACTAAATGAGAATGGTATTATTACAATAATAATGAAATAATATAATCCCAATTTTTTTTTTTTTTTAATTTTAGATCTAATATTGGTGCCATGATCTTTGTCTTTGTTACTCTATCAAAAACTGCTTCACCAAACATATTCTGATAAGAAAGGGAGTTGTTTTTGGTAAATTCTGAAAGGATTGGGAGGAAAAAACAGAGAGAGAGAGAGAAAAAAAAAAGTCACTGAAGGAAGACATAAAACCCCATTTGCTCTAGAAAATATCTACAGATTGCGCAGGTAAGCCCACAATCACTTATTAAAGATATATTTGCAGTGACTCAAGTACTCACTATAGCTTCCATGCCTTCAAAAGGACAAAAAAAATTCACAATGTATATTATGGAAAGATATAGTTAAACAATTAATTATCCAAGCTCTATCTTGCCATATATTTGAGAGAGACATTTGCTCTCAATCTCAAAAATAATGCGCAGGGTGTTGGTAAGCGCATAACATGCATATGTGGTTAGTTGCTGGGTATAAGACGTAGAGTTAAGGTTTGTGAAGATGCTTGTAATGTCATGTGTTTGTTAAGTTTGTCAATGAAGGTTCTGAGTGAATTCGATTCAATGATGTGTTGGGGTAGCCTGTTCCAGTCATGTATGGTACGTGGGACGTGCTTGTAAGAATCACTGTTGGTATGGTATGTCAATTTAGGTTGTTTGTGATCTTGTACATGAAGTCAATGTGAGTGTTAAGGTGAGATTATTAGTGAGGTGTTCTCCGAGGTATTTGTGGGATGTTGTGGGTGTAAGTTGTTGGTCGTGTTGACAGTAGGTGTATGTGATCTGGTAAAATGGAGTACCTTGAATTTATCGGGTATGAATATAATTTACCATGACCTTTCCCATTACTCAAGGGCGTCTATGTCATGTTAAAGGAGTCTGCAATTGTTTTTGGGAAGGATTTGAAAGCGGTCAAATTTTCAGCGCATAGAGTTATTGTTTTTATAGTGTTGTCTGCGTAGGTCCCTGGAGAATCAATGAAGAGTATATCTGCTTCTCGGAGATATGTGCTTTTTCATGGCTGTGAGGATGGTGTATTTAAGGCTGCCCCAATTAGAAGTGAAGGCTTGTGGGGCCACGGTAATTGATGGACTTTGCTGCAGGCGAACGTATTCCTAAGATCGAGGATAATATGATTTTAAATAATAATTGTCCTGTTGAACCTGAAACCTCCATTATGTCATAACATATATGTTTCTAATATGGTCCTTTTAGAGCAAAAAAGCTAAAAATATCCCACTTAGGCTAGCCTTATAATATATCAACCCTTCAGGAAAACTTTGGCTTGAATAAAATTGGTGAAACAGCTACTGACTAACAATCAAATTTGATGTAATTTGTTGTTTCTAGTGATAATAATAATAATAATAATAATAATAATAATAATAATAATAATAATAATAATAATAATAATAATAATAATAATAATAATAATAATAATAATAATAATAATAATAATAATAATAATAATAATAATAATAATAATAATAATAATAATAATAATAATAATAATAATAATAATAATAATAATAATAATAATAATAATAATAATAATAATAATAATAATAATAATAATAATAATAATAATAATAATAATAATAATAATAATAATAATAATAATAATAATAATAATAATAATAATAATAATAATAATAATAATAATAATAATAATAATAATAATAATAATAATAATAATAATAATAATAATAATAATAATAATAATAATAATAATAATAATAATAATAATAATAATAATAATAATAATAATAATAATAATAATAATAATAATAATAATAATAATAATAATAATAATAATAATAATAATAATAATAATAATAATAATAATAATAATAATAATAATAATAATAATAATAATAATAATAATAATAATAATAATAATAATAATAATAATAATAATAATAATAATAATAATAATAATAATAATAATAATAATAATAATAATAATAATAATAATAATAATAATAATAATAATAATAATAATAATAATAATAATAATAATAATAATAATAATAATAATAATAATAATAATAATAATAATAATAATAATAATAATAATAATAATAATAATAATAATAATAATAATAATAATAATAATAATAATAATAATAATAATAATAATAATAATAATAATAATAATAATAATAATAATAATAATAATAATAATAATAATAATAATAATAATAATAATAATAATAATAATAATAATAATAATAATAATAATAATAATAATAATAATAATAATAATAATAATAATAATAATAATAATAATAATAATAATAATAATAATAATAATAATAATAATAATAATAATAATAATAATAATAATAATAATAATAATAATAATAATAATAATAATAATAATAATAATAATAATAATAATAATAATAATAATAATAATAATAATAATAATAATAATAATAATAATAATAATAATAATAATAATAATAATAATAATAATAATAATAATAATAATAATAATAATAATAATAATAATAATAATAATAATAATAATAATAATAATAATAATAATAATAATAATAATAATAATAATAATAATAATAATAATAATAATAATAATAATAATAATAATAATAATAATAATAATAATAATAATAATAATAATAATAATAATAATAATAATAATAATAATAATAATAATAATAATAATAATAATAATAATAATAATAATAATAATAATAATAATAATAATAATAATAATAATAATAATAATAATAATAATAATAATAATAATAATAATAATAATAATAATAATAATAATAATAATAATAATAATAATAATAATAATAATAATAATAATAATAATAATAATAATAATAATAATAATAATAATAATAATAATAATAATAATAATAATAATAATAATAATAATAATAATAATAATAATAATAATAATAATAATAATAATAATAATAATAATAATAATAATAATAATAATAATAATAATAATAATAATAATAATAATAATAATAATAATAATAATAATAATAATAATAATAATAATAATAATAATAATAATAATAATAATAATAATAATAATAATAATAATAATAATAATAATAATAATAATAATAATAATAATAATAATAATAATAATAATAATAATAATAATAATAATAATAATAATAATAATAATAATAATAATAATAATAATAATAATAATAATAATAATAATAATAATAATAATAATAATAATAATAATAATAATAATAATAATAATAATAATAATAATAATAATAATAATAATAATAATAATAATAATAATAATAATAATAATAATAATAATAATAATAATAATAATAATAATAATAATAATAATAATAATAATAATAATAATAATAATAATAATAATAATAATAATAATAATAATAATAATAATAATAATAATAATAATAATAATAATAATAATAATAATAATAATAATAATAATAATAATAATAATAATAATAATAATAATAATAATAATAATAATAATAATAATAATAATAATAATAATAATAATAATAATAATAATAATAATAATAATAATAATAATAATAATAATAATAATAATAATAATAATAATAATAATAATAATAATAATAATAATAATAATAATAATAATAATAATAATAATAATAATAATAATAATAATAATAATAATAATAATAATAATAATAATAATAATAATAATAATAATAATAATAATAATAATAATAATAATAATAATAATAATAATAATAATAATAATAATAATAATAATAATAATAATAATAATAATAATAATAATAATAATAATAATAATAATAATAATAATAATAATAATAATAATAATAATAATAATAATAATAATAATAATAATAATAATAATAATAATAATAATAATAATAATAACAAGTCTCACATGGTTGGATAAAGGCGAATGTCTTCAATTTTTCCTAAAAATCCAAACAAGGTCGACATCTGATCCTTCGTAGCCTGTGGGGCTATGTTGGATATTTGTATTATCCGAGTTTTGGACTTCATCGTGGTATCATTGGGTATAATTATCGAAAAAATGAAGGAAATCGGCGACTGAGCTTCGGTTCGGCTTGTAAACACTGCGAGGCCGACTTCATCCAACACTGTTTGGGGGAGATGGTGACGACTTTGTAATACTCCCTGTTTCCTCTTTCTTTTTTTGTTTGGTAATTCTAAATCAAAAGAGAATTTCGAATTTAAAATGAATTGGCTGTGGTGATAAGATGTTTAAGGTATTTAGTCAAGTTGTGATCGTAGGAGATTCTTATTGGGAGCGGGGGGGGAGGATACGTGTCAATATCGCGCACTGTTTCATTTAGTTGAAGTAACTTTGTGAGAGTTTGATTTTATCCGAGATGCCTACTTTTCATGTCGTTCCAGAATTTTCTCTTAGAATTATCCCTTCCTGTTCTCTGGGGCATCATTTCAGCTTTTTTTTTTTTTTTTTTTTACTTTTTTAGAGAGGGGCGAAATTAAGGAGCGAAATGAGCATAATCGGTTTATGGGGCGCTGCGAGGACCACCAATTTCTTTTTGGTGTGGAAAAAATTAGCTTTTCTTGGACCATTTTTAAGCTACGACCAGAGCGACGAAAATGTAATTTAGTGGAAAAAAAAACCTTCAGCCCCCCCCCCCCCCAAATGACGCCCTACTTATCCTATTGAAATCCGAGCGCTAAATGAAGCACTGGAAATAATAATGATAGTAATAATGATAATACTAATAATAATGATAATAATAATAATAAAAAAATAATAATAATAACGATAATAATAAATAAATAAATAAATACATGAATAAATAAATACATATGTATATATATATATATATATATATATATATATATATATATATACATATATATATATGTATATATATATATATATATATATATATATATATATATATATATATATATATACACACACACACACACAGTTGGCTATTAATATTGTAAGTACAGATGTGGTTAGGATTACTATTTATCGCTGAAAAAGAATCTCACAACAATTATTAATTATTACCTTTCTAAAACCGGTTGTGGTGTTGTCCTTGGAGGCAATTTTACCACATGTTGGAAGTCTCGTAGCTATGACTATATTGTATACAGTCGCAACGCTGTGATACCAACGTTCAGGTCATAAATGTAAAGGTAAAAAAGAAGAGAAAGAAAGAAAGAAAGAAGGAAGGAAAGGAGGAAAGAAAGAAAGAAAGAAAGAAAAATATATATATGGTCCAGTTAGCTTATATTTTCATTCGTTCCTTGGGAAAAGTGAATAACTGTTTGTTGCACCTGCTCGTGTTTGGCGATTTGCAAATGTTGTTTCTTCTCGAGGTCATAGGTGAAATAGGTCGCCAGGTGTGCAGAAAGGCTATACTCGGTTACAAGTGGTATGAAATCGCCAGGTTGGATTATAAAATCGATTAAATTTGGACTGATCGATAGGTAGGTTCTTCTCTATTTATGCCTTATTTTCACCTTTTTCTTCTTCTGATTTGTCTTGATTCTTTTCATTTTTTTTCTTTTATCTTATATGCCCTCGTTCTACTTCTCTTGCAGATTATTTTTTCCGTCTTTCTTTTCTCTCTTTTCACTTACTTTCCCCTATTCTTCTTCTTTCCTCCTTCTCTTTCATCTTATTTCTCCCCATTTCTCTCCATTCTTCTCCTCTTTCAATCTTTCCCCTTTATTTTTATTTTTCTCTTTTAGCTTATTTTCCTCATTTTTTAAAAAACTTATTTCTCTCTTTTCCTTCTTCCCTTTCATCTTATTTATCCCTTTTCTTCCCATTCCTCTTCTCTTCTCCTCTTTCTTCTACTTACTCCTCCTCCTCCTTCCTTTCCTCATCCTTTCGAAACAGAACCCAAATAAACCAAATGTAAAATATTCAAAACTATTCCGGGGTATCACAGCATAACGGTTTCATTGCCGTTATTTTTTTAAAAATTTATATTGATAAAAGTAAGCAAGATTAATTCAGTTGCCAAATATTCAATGGTTCTATTTTCATCTTGCATACTTTTTTTGCGCATCAACTATATCCCACAATAAATACATGTCTAACAGTGCCCGTTCATAATACCTTAGGACAGTGTGGTTTTTGTTTCATAGGTCTCATTTCCACGCTGAGGTTTATATATAAGGTATTGGATTACTTTTAAGCTACTTTAACCCAACTGGTTTCTGCTATTTTGTTCCTATCATCCCATTTTTGTTATCATTGTTGTTATACTAACAGATAATATTGAATTTGTTATTATATGGTTTCATTATCATTATTATTGTTGCATTGTTGTTATTGTTACTATTTTCATTATGACAAAATTATTACTATTATCATCTTTATCATTATAATCATTGTTATAATGTTTCATCTAACAATTGCATTTCCCTAAAAATCACAACTATTATTTCTTATACTTAACCATTATTGTTAATATTTATTCATTACTGTTATTTCATTATCATAGTTATTATCCTTGACATGATAGTTATCCATTTTGTTACAATCACCAGTAGTCTCTAACAAATAATTTTTGGCAATGAATTAATGGTAACGATAATGATATTGATGTTTTTACTACGTCTACATAATCGATGATTTTTGCTTTAATTTTCCCAAATATTACACCTTTTAATATTGTAGATAGGGATAACGGAAGCAAAGTATGTGCAATACATTTTGATGAGGATGATAAGAAAAATACAAAGTTGATATAGCTCTGTTTTATTGCATCCGAAATCAATAAATTGACGCATTAAAGAATTATAACTTACAAACACATACACTAACGATGCACCTAAATTGACAAACGCTGTTTTATTTTTTTTATTCTCTCAAAATAATACAGAAGGTAAAAACAACGACGAAACACAAGATAGCATCATAATTACTTTCGAAATGAAAAATAAATGCTTTGTGGTACAGGTTTCCCCTAAAAAGCAAAAACTATAATGCATTTTTTTTTTTTTTGTATTTTGTTTTTGTTTATATTATAAGGCAAAGTTTGATGCTTGCTAAATATATACAAGCACTACCATAGTGCTGCGTACATAGTTACAAAGAGAAATATATATGTTCTTTTATTCTCTCTCTCTCATATGAGCCACAGAACCCGATTATGCTTGACAAAGGAGGTAATATTAGGTGAGATGTGGCACGTTGCAAATGGGCCACCGCAAAAAAAAAGGTGTTCACCAATTTTTTTGTCTTCTTCTTTTGTTTCTTTGTTTCTTTCCTCACAGTTCATGGCAACACCAATCGAAAACAAAGTAAACGCGTGGCACACAGACCTCCTCCTTCTCACTATCAGCACTGTTTATTCCAAGTAATGATGGTGAATGTTATATATGTCTTTGAGATTGTCCAAACTACCACGTATTGTGAAGGGGCTATGGATGGTGTGCGATAACATGATATTCAAGAGTTATTATATCATTCTAATTATAACATAACTATAGACATCATCCTAATAGGAATAGTGATGTCCCTAACATTATAAATAACATTATTCGAGATGAAAAAAAAATATGTTAGTAACAAGCTTAAAATAATGTTGTTATTTATCATAATCCTAGTTCATGCGAAAAATAAAGAGAGAATGATAAGGATATTAGTGATATTTTATAAATTGAAATGTAAGCAATTAAGCAAAATGATAATAATGATGATAGTGCAATGCTGTTAATATCAATTAGACAGATAATAGTAATGGCAGTGCTAATGGTAAGTAAACACATATTACAGTAGTAAAATAATGATTATGGAAATCATTAATAATATCAAGAGCGCAGACGATGATAAAAACAATAACGGTAAACAATAATAAGGTTAGTAATGATAAGAAATAGTAAAAGTGAAAATGATAATAACGCTCGTGATATAATATTATCAATATTGATAATAAAGAAAATATTAATGATAGTATTAACGGTATTAATTAATTTGATGGTGATTACATTTTAGAATAATGCTAGTAATGGTAAATGTATAATATTGATAATGGTAATAATAAGTAATACTAATGATGATAACGATAGTAGTAATGATAATCATGATAATGGTAAAAACGAAAAAAAAGTAACAATATATGACAAAAAAGAATAATGGTCGCAATAATAATTAAAGAAATGAAGACAAAAATTAATTATAGTACTATCAATAAAAGAAATAATAAAGCTGAAGAAGGAATACGAACGTATTCAGATTTAAATAAATTATTATTCCGTATAACCTGTTTGCCTGTTCTCCTAAAGGCTTATATACAAAACCAATAAAAATCATCCAATAAACTAACAAAAAGAATTCTGAAAGTTGAGCTTTATTAAAAAAAGAAAAAAAAGAAAAAAAAGAAAAAGAAACGTAAAGAAAAGCCAAAATTTTACCATCACAAAATCCGCGACCGGGGAAACGGACGCAGTCAAAAGCGACAAAGAAAACGGGAGGATTCAGGGATGACTCTCTTAAATCCCAGATTTTTAAAACTATATATATTCTCTTCTTCCCAATGCATTTTGAAGTGACTGCCCTCCGTCCTCCTCTTTTTTATTTGTGGGTTTTGCTGCATCAGAGGCCTAAAGTCAGCAAAAGTCAGCGGAATTATTTCTCGGTATCACTGCCCTTCTTCACCCGCCCAATTTCAGCAGAGGAAAATGGAAAATGGGAAGGAAATGTTATTTTTCCTCCACATAACACTCAGATGGATGAATTATGCATTGGTTAATATGAACATAAATATAGATATAGGTATATACATACATGCATTAATATATACGAAAAAAAATCAATATATATATATATGCATATCCGTAATGATTAGGATGATAATCATGAAAACAATAATAATTAAAAAATATATATTATGACAATAATGATATGAAAAAAATGATGATGGATATAATAATAATAATAATTATAGCAAGGTAAATGTGAAAATGAAAATAGAAAGATAATAGTAATGGCAGTGCTAATGGTAAGTAAACACATATTACAGTAGTAAAATAATGATTATGGAAATCATTAATAATATTAAGAGCGCAGACGATGATAAAAACAATAACGGTAAACAATAATAAGGTTAGTAATGATAAGAAATAGTAAAAGTGAAAATGATAATAACGCTCGTGATATAATATTATCAATACTGATAATAAAGAAAATATTAATGATAGTATTAACGGTATTAATTAATTTGATGGTGATTACATTTTAGAATAATGCTAGTAATGGGAAATGTATAATATTGATAATGGTAATAATAAGTAATAATAATGATGATAGTGCAATGCTGTTAATATCAATTAGACAGATAATAGTAATGGCAGTGCTAATGGTAAGTAAACACATATTACAGTAGTAAAATAATGATTATGGAAATCATTAATAATATTAAGAGCGCAGACGATGATAAAAACAATAACGGTAAACAATAATAAGGTTAGTAATGATAAGAAATAGTAAAAGTGAAAATGATAATAACGCTCGTGATATAATATTATCAATACTGATAATAAAGAAAATATTAATGATAGTATTAACGGTATTAATTAATTTGATGGTGATTACATTTTAGAATAATGCTAGTAATGGGAAATGTATAATATTGATAATGGTAATAATAAGTAATAATAATGATGATAGTGCAATGCTGTTAATATCAATTAGACAGATAATAGTAATGGCAGTGCTAATGGTAAGTAAACACATATTACAGTAGTAAAATAATGATTATGGAAATCATTAATAATATTAAGAGCGCAGACGATGATAAAAACAATAACGGTAAACAATAATAAGGTTAGTAATGATAAGAAATAGTAAAAGTGAAAATGATAATAACGCTCGTGATATAATATTATCAATATTGATAATAAAGAAAATATTAATGATAGTATTAACGGTATTAATTAATTTGATGGTGATTACATTTTAGAATAATGCTAGTAATGGTAAATGTATAATATTGATAATGGTAATAATAAGTAATACTAATGATGATAACGATAGTAGTAATGATAATCATGATAATGGTAAAAACGAAAAAAAAGTAACAATATATGACAAAAAAGAATAATGGTCGCAATAATAATTAAAGAAATGAAGACAAAAATTAATTATAGTACTATCAATAAAAGAAATAATAAAGCTGAAGAAGGAATACGAACGTATTCAGATTTAAATAAATTATTATTCCGTATAACCTGTTTGCCTGTTCTCCTAAAGGCTTATATACAAAACCAATAAAAATCATCCAATAAACTAACAAAAAGAATTCTGAAAGTTGAGCTTTATTAAAAAAAGAAAAAAAAGAAAAAGAAAAAAGAAACGTAAAGAAAAGCAAAAATCAGACCACATTCACATACCATGCGCCACCAATCCCCCCCCCCCCCTTCACACGTGGGATAAAGCATGAATAAATGTCATCATACCAAACATGTATTTGTAACATGCATAGAGAGGGGCGCACCTTCTCGAAGATGCCGCTTAGCTGTACGAGGGATGTGCAAAATATGCGTGTGATTCTCTAAACAATGGTACTCCGCCGCTCCCGAAGCAGTCGTGGTGAGTGTCTGGTCTAGACGCTGTGGGTATTTACAGAGACGTTATGGGAGCATAACGTGGGCAAATGCACAAATACACGCAAACAATTACCAGCAGGTACGCAAGCGCACGCGCGCACAGGTATACACTGCCAAGGTACAGGCCTTGTACACTTACACATGTACAGAAATGATACACACGTATGTTGCGCATGTGTGAGTGTACTTATATATATACATACATATCTATACACATACACACACACGTACCTATATATGTATATATATGTATATATATACATACACATACACATGAATGCCACATATGTACAGACAGACACACGCACAAACACACACATACACATGAATGTCCACATTTCGCACACAAGGGGTACATTAACTACACACTCCACTTTCACTCTCCCTGTGCACGAATTCACGTCTAGCAGACATGAAGGCAAACATCCACATGTGAACAAGCATTTCATATTTGTATATCAAACAACGTGTATGGTAGTGTTTTCTTGCGAGAATAACGATTGGAAAAGTCAATCTTAGTAGTATTCTATAAAAGAAAAAAATTGCTATGAAATCCAGAACACCTGGCTCTGTCTTCTTCCTGAAAAGCCAAAATTTTACCATCACAAAATCCGCGACCGGGGAAACGGACGCAGTCAAAAGCGACAAAGAAAACGGGAGGATTCAGGGATGACTCTCTTAAATCCCAGATTTTTAAAACTATATATATTCTCTTCTTCCCAATGCATTTTGAAGTGACTGCCCTCCGTCCTCCTCTTTTTTATTTGTGGGTTTTGCTGCATCAGAGGCCTAAAGTCAGCAAAAGTCAGCGGAATTATTTCTCGGTATCACTGCCCTTCTTCACCCGCCCAATTTCAGCAGAGGAAAATGGAAAATGGGAAGGAAATGTTATTTTTCCTCCACATAACACTCAGATGGATGAATTATGCATTGGTTAATATGAACATAAATATAGATATAGGTATATACATACATGCATTAATATATACGAAAAAAATCAATATATATATATATGCATATCCGTAATGATTAGGATGATAATCATGAAAACAATAATAATTAAAAAATATATATTATGACAATAATGATATGAAAAAAATGATGATGGATATAATAATAATAATAATAATTATAGCAAGGTAAATGTGAAAATGAAAATAGAAAGATACTAATAACAACAACAACCATTTAAACAAAAGTGACAGCTGTAATAGTAATAACATTTATGATGAAACGATATGAAGAAATAATAATAATAATAATAAAAACAGTAGTAATAGTAATAATGATAATATTAATAATAATAATAAAAACAGTAGTAATAGTAATAATGATAATAATAATGATAATAATAATAATAATATTAATAATAATAATAATGATAATGACATGACAGTGGTAATAATAATAATAATGATCATAATGATAATAAGAAAGAAAAAATGATAAAGATCTTAACAATGATAATGCAGGTATTGATAACATTAATATTAATAACATTAATGATAATGGTAATAATAATGATAGTAATAATAATGATAATAACAATAATGACAGCAATAATAATGATAATAATAATGATGATAATAAAAAATAATAATGATGATAATAATAATGATAATAATAACAGTAATAATAATAATGATAACAGTAATATAATGTATTAATAAAATAATGATAAGAAATCGAAATTTGCTATTCACAATAAACCAAAAGAGCATAATATTAAGATCAAATCATGAAGATAATGATAGTAATAACAATTAGGTGCTGCTAACAAAAAAGCGAATATGAATAATAATAATGGTAATTACAGTAACAACAATAATAATAATAACAATCATGATAATAGCATCAGTAATATAAGTATTGAAAATGATAATAGTATTAATAACAAAGATAATAATAATGATAATAATGGTAATAATAATAATAACAATAATGATAATAATGATGATGATGGTAATATTAATGGTAATAATAATGATGAAATAATAACAATAATAAAAATAATACCAATAACAATGATCATCATAATAATAATGGTAATAACAATAATGATGATAATGACAATAGCAATAATAGTAATAATAATAATGATAATAATAATAATAATAATAATAATAATAATAATAATGATAATAATAATAACAACATTAATAATAACAATAATAACAACAATAATAATGATAAGAATAACGATGTTAATAACAATGATAATATAAATAATGGTGAAAATAATAATAATGATGATAATAACAATGATGCGTCAAAAATAAATGAACAAACATTAACAATGATAAAAAAAAATGATGAGAATGATAATAATAATATAAATGATGATAATAATGAAAATAACAATAATGCTAATAATAATGATGAAGATAATAATAATAATAATAATAATGATAATAATAATGATAATAACAATAACAATAATGATAATAACAATGATGATGATAATACTTATACTACTAATAACGGTCATGATTTTAAATAA